AAGTCTAGCTCTTATTACAGGATACATCTTTTTCAACTGACTGTTCATGTAATTACGCGGTAATTCAAAAGAGCCTCAGGAGAGGGATATTGTCGATTAGCTGATCGCGAGTTTCTCAATTCTTGATTTTATAAATGAGATGAAATAGAAGAAAAAAATGAAAGGAAAAGCTTTCAATCACACGGACAGATTTTTATAAAATTAAAAATTACATATGGCTTTTTTTTTCTTCCATCAATTGACAGATACTTTTTCTCATGAATTATTCACTCCTTTTGAACTGACTAAAAAATAAAACAAAAAAATATATGTAACATTTGAAACATAAATAAAATGATAAAATGCTTGGAATGAAGAGAAAGCATAATATTGCAATAAAAATAATTTTTTGTAGAAACAACTAGTACCACTAGATTGGAGCATTGCCAAGTGTTCTGAAGTGCATAATGAAGATATGTGTTACACGACAATTTAAATTTCCCGCGGCTTATTCCAGGAACGTCTAATACACTCCCGGAAGTTCATTCACAATATTCCGCGAGGCACACACTCATGATCTCTCACTGCCGCCTGCAGGAGAAGAAGTGTCTAGTCGTCCGGCACAGATAAATCCAACGAGTGGTGTCCTAAATAATGCGAGCTGCCGTCTTCACTAGTGCGAATCGTGCGTCTTGTTGAAACACTACTTTACATATACAAGTAAAATAAGATACATGTACATACGTATATATTCTTTAGTTTATTCCATGCGTGCGTTGACGGCGAGGATTACGACTCCAGTAAACTTAAACTAAATCATCAGAATATTCTTCCAGGTGTCCTCTTAGCGCCATATCATTCTTGAGACCAATAAAATGTCATGCCAAATAATTTATGGGCTCATAAAATTATCTATTTCATATATTTATAATAATGCTTAGTTAGAACTTGATGTTTTGTAGCTATTAAATTATTCTTAAAGACAAAAAATTTATTACGAAACAAATTACTTTTATGACATTAAAGGAAAAAAAATTTTCATTATTGCGATGATTATGTTGCCTTTTTTTCATCGCAAAAAAATTATTTTCCAACCGATGTTTTATCACTAAACACGTTTATAATTGAATTTCGCCATAGAAATGACTAAAAAATATTCAATTGTTTAAAATAAATTCATTTTATGTAACAAATAGTGGGATTTCGATGATAAAAAAAAAGCAATACGTGAACTAAATAAATCATTTACTTAGTTAAAGTCCAATATCATCTACAACTTGCAATCTCACGAATACAATTAATGCTCGACTATTATCACTAGTTTAAATAAAGCCTACTTGAAACTGTACTTCTCCTTTGTCGTATTTTTTTCACAACAATTCGTGCACCACGATTCGATTCCGCTACTTCGATCAACATCCACCGTAATTCCCAATTATGTGGTGAGTGCAAGGTGTTCAATTACAGCGTGAAATACTTACTAAACCAAAAGACAGAATACGTATAAAAAAAGCATGATGAAAATGGTAAAATAGCAAGGAAAGGCTGATTAGACATGGCTAAGGTGTATTGTATGTGCTATAAATCTCAAGAGTCAGGTGGAAGACGATGGTCATCAGCTCGTAGCAATCCACGTGGAGATCTCATGAACTCTAGAGTGAGAGTGAGAAAGACAAATAATAGTACTGAAGAGGAAGAAGAAGAAGTTGTATGTATTAGTAGTAGTCTTCTCATATGCGCAAACGTCTTAGCTATGACCTACGACCCTTAAAGCTACAACTTACTGTACACCCGCTACGCTTTCTACGATCTTGCACTCACGATCCATCGGCTCTCCAGCGAATACGCAATTTCGATGCAAACCCATGCCACCTCTACCTCGTTATAAACTTATGACTTTCATTATTATCTTCTAAATAAAAATTTTATTCAATAAACAGAAATATTAGATGATTTTTGAAAATATTTTCAACGTTTATAAAAGATTTATTGAAATTATTACATTATACAGTAATGTTTAAAAATTTTTCATTCTATTACTCTAGATCGCAATAACCTCTCCGTCTCCATTTCTAATTGGTTATGAATAGTAGCAGAATCATTTCCTGATATTATGTAGTAGGTTTCAGTAATTATTAAACTTCCGGTACAGAGTTGAATAATCAATTATTACTTATACTTGCTGTCATGATAGTGATTATAACCAGCACTACACATTATTGAGGTTGTAAAGGCTGATGTCGGAAGCGATGATATACAAGTAAGAAAACCATGTACCAATCTTGGACCATAAAACTGGACCTGGACTCCAGTAATAACGTGTGAACGTACTATCCATCAGTAGAACAAAACAGTTAAGCAGCAATCAGGACAACGTGTATAGTAATGAACACCACTATGTATTGCAGCCCACCATCATAGTTCATACTTGGCTGATGTATTTATAAGCCAACAAAACACGACAAAAAACATCCCACACTAGAAAAGATATTCTGTTGCTGCAACAAATCAATATAACATAAATCTTTTCTATGAGTAATTAATGTTTGTTTTCATATCTTTTAATCAGAAAATTCTTTTTCATTATTGATCTTTCACTCATTATGCCAAAATTCTTGATTGCTATTTTTTTTTTTCTTTAAATGAAAAAAAATGTCAAAACTTTGATAAATATGATAGACAATAATGAATTGTGCGGAAAAAAAACATTTTTTGTTTCTTATTATTTGTTGATTAAATTGCAGCTGATAGGATATCAATAATTATTTATCTTAGTTAATTAACTTGGGCTTCTTGATATAATTACAATTTGAAAAAGGGTGGAGAGTCGGTAGTTAGGCATCAGTGGCACCTGCACCGACGTGTATCATCATAATAAGCCCCATGAATTTATTCGAGTGTCGTTTTTTGCAGGCCAAGTGTAGGCGGTCTCGCCTGCTTCTTTTAACCCCTTCTACTGTCTTTACAAGACATTATTTCCTCCATTTATATTATTAACTACACTGCTCTGTATAAAATTTACATCGAACAAGAGAATAAAAAAAATACAAGGAAGTCTTTAGTTTCTCCTGATGGTCTCCACGATAACCTGAAACTTTTTTTCAACGAGTTTGGGACAGTTTTAATATCTAGGAATTTGCAGGTGCTCTCGCGCTGATTTTTATCATTACGACATTCAGTTTTAATGCGTATTATATATTCATTAATCTTCCTTATAAAAATATACGCATATTCATTCATTAGGTTAATTAATTTTTGATAATTCTTTTTTTGTGAGTAAAATTTCTTTTTAACTATGCAATAAATATATCAAGGAGAAAATTAATGTAGTAAACATTCAGAGACTCGTTGAAGAAATAGAATAAAACAATAATTTTTATAATTAAGTGAAATGAAAAAAATGAAAATGTTTACTTCAAGACTATCTCATCTCTTCTAATTAAAGTTACGCCCAAGATTATTTTCTTTCGCACGTTCTAAATATTTTTTTCTCATCAACAACTCTTCAAGCATGTAACAATAAAGTGTTTCCTCATCGTCGGTCAAACATTAAGTTCGCAGTCTAAACCAACCAACCTCATCGTCATCTACACTAGGCGTTGAAGCCACCACGTAAATCTACGTTAACGATATCACCAGAAATAACCGGGGTGACGCTATCGCATTCAAGACACGTGAGAACACGCCACTGAGACACCTTTTCTCCGTCTCTCTGTATATTTTATTCTTATTCTTAAGCTCTCTGGAAATAATCACAAGCAAGATCGTATCCGTGAAGACTTTTATTCTGGCTCCTGCCGCGACAAGTCCTCGACGTTTTTAAGTGTACCGTTAAAAATTCCCTGGCCATTTTACTCAAGCAATTTGTTGTGAATTTTCGAAACAAGAATCTGTGGTCCCTTGATAATATGCTACGCCCTCTGGGGAAATGAAAAGTGCAAGAACCAGATTCTCAACGTCACTTGAACAGCCATTACTGAACGATAAGAGCCATCGTTCTCACACTCGTAAATTTGTCAGTACCAAGGCCCATCTTGTTTTAAGATATATTTTTCTACACTTAAAAATTATTTCCACCTCAATTTGTACGCTCTTTCTTATCGTATTGGCTACTGACTGGAAGACAGAATGAGGAAAGAGAAAAAGGGCTTGGTTACATAGATAGTAAATAATGATGAAGATTCAATACTCAATGTTATCTTATCTCATTCCACCTTTAATTCATACGATCAAGACACTAACAAGTCTATACGATATTATTTTTTACTTATTTATTATTTATTGTTTTACTTTTAAATTTTTTCACCAACTACCAACATTTTTATCGTAACAACTGTAAAACTCTTTGATGTATTGACATTCATTTAATCTTTCAAGATTTATATTGATTTCTCATTTTTATTATTATTAAGAACTAGAAGATCAGTCAAATAAATCATTTATACATAAATCCAAAATGAATAATTTCTCCAAGAGAAATTTTTATTTTCAGAGAAGAGAATAAAGGATTGTACATCGCAGCAGGAAGTGTAAGAGCATACTGCGAAAGTCGATGATTTTTATTCCTTTCTCTCATTGAAGAATAGAATTTTCTTTACAGCTCATATTCTCTCTACCTATCTATCTACTTTAAAAGTCTCTCTTCACCGAAAGACCGCTGTAAATACCACTAATCACTCCTCGATCCTTGCTAACCTAGCTTGACCCTAACATAAGAGTTATAGTCGTTGGTTTTATTCGGGCTACTTTTCTTTCTTTAGCTTCTTCTTCACCTTCAGAGACCTCGTCCATCCAGTGAACCTTTTCCTTCCACTAACCTTGCTAGCTCTATCATCACTACATGTGGTGATTTACATCTCCATAGATCATCAAAAATATATAAAACTGTTTACAAAAATCATAACCAGCAATTTTGATGCAATGCGGAAAATAATATCGATATTTCATGACAGTTTAAAAAGTAAGTAATTAATTAAAATAATAAAATTGATGATAATTAATTTTTCATGACACAAAAATTTTTTATTTAATATATCATTTCCAAAACCTGTTATCGAGGATATAAAAAATTAGTCAAAAGGACTGGAGATAGTAAAAAAATGGTACATGTTATAAAAAAACGTAAATTAATCGAAATGTCATTTTTAATCATGCTGTTGTCGTTCATCGGTACCTTCACGATCGCTGCTTCCGGACGATCGACTGTGACTGGGTGTTCTGCTCCGACTACGGCTTTGTCGGCTTCTACTTCTACTCGTTGGCCTTTCATACGTCTGGCCACCGCCATCAGCATCAGTTCTTGGTGCTGCTTCTTCAATTGGTTCTTTTGATAACATGTCTATGTCATCAACTCCACCTCGTTTCCTTGATCTCCCACCTCGTCCTCGCCTCCTGCTTCGACGTCGCCTTCGTCCTCGAGATTTTCCACGGCCCTTACGCCTTCGTCCACCTCGTCGTCTTCGTCCACGTCCTCGTCTTCCCTTTTTTCCTTTCCTTCCTCGTCGTCGTCGTCTCCGGCCACCACGCTCCATTGGTCCCTGCTCAGTTGACATTTCAGGATCATTCATTAGATAATGGGCTCCTTTTTTTTGAAGGATCCCATACTCTAATCCTCGTTTTAACGCTGCTCTCAACTGTAATAAATATCAATGACACAGATAAAAATTTTAATGGCACTAAAAAACAAATATATTTAAAAAGAAATTATTTGGAAACAATTTCTCTTTAGAAATTTGTTTAATTAATTTAAATTAATTACCCGACGTTCAAGAGTAGGTTCTGAGTTATATTCTCTCATCACATAATTGAGGATATCCTTGGTAGTCGATCCTTTGGCCTCACGGAGATTCCGGATCGCATCGACGACTAACTTTTCCATCTTCAGCGGTGACTTAACCATCTTGATGTTGTGATTTTTACTATTTCACAAGAATATGTAATTCAGGAAGACAAATGATTTTTTTTTCCAAATAAATTTTTACATCCGAACTGGGTAGTGAACAGCTTTTTGGCAATTGTCTTGTCAATTTTCTTAATTTTCAATGATTTCAATAGGAATTTTTTTCAGATTTTAATGCTGACATTATTTGAAACGCAATAATATAATTTCCTCGATAATTTTTCAGGTAACGAATGATTTAGAATAAAATAAAACGGGAAGAAGAAATTGCGTGAACGTTTCAATGAGACAACCGCTGACTTTGTTTATTCAACAGCAAAACATCTACATCGTTTGTCATTTGGTTGCCATGAGGGAAGAGAGAGAGAAAAAAACAACGAAAAGGTAAAGGGGCTTTTGTTTCTCATGTTTGAAGTGAAGTTGACGAGTAATAAGATGTGTAAAACGAGCAATGTAAGCAGGTGAATGCAAGAAAGGCGGAAGAGTGACGAGAGAAAGAAAGTCACGACGAGAAATGAGCATAGAACGCATGGCCACCCGCACCAGACACTCGACCGGTGTCATATGTTTATAAATAGTGTATCAACGTAATGCTCTCTGCGGCTGTAACCACACGAAAGATTTACGAACGCCCGCGCATAGTAACCCGCTAGACGATGAACGCGGAACGGAATTTACTCTCGACATAAATGATACAGGAATTGTGCCTTAGTTTTAACTCTTTGTCGTTTACTACTTTGTTAATTAATTGACAAAAGAATTATATTTACACTCAATACTTGAAAAATACTTCCTTCAATCTCTGTGAAAGTTAATTCCCTATTTTTTTTCTTTTAAAATTTTGTTGTTTTCATCCAATACTATCAGTGACAAAAAAATGAGATAGTCAGGCATGCAATTGAGTCATTGTTATTTTTTTTTTTAAATGGATAGAAATGTTTATTTTATCAAAATAATTATTCATTCATAATAAGAAAAACAAACATCAAATAATCAGTAATACGGGAAGCAACAATCTTAAGCAAGCAATTACAAAAGATGTCAGTTTAAAGAAGTGAAAAGGGAATCCAAGAGTCAGACGTGAAATTTGAAATATAATTTGTGCCTAGACGTACGTCTAGATCATACATGTGTGGGTGCTAGGAATACTACAAATAGATTTATGCACATATATTTGTATACAGAGAATGCAATGTGATTTAGTAAAAGAATAAAAAAAAATAATCTGGCAGATTAGTATGTCTAGGCAGCTATATTATGCTGAACTTTCTGCATTCGTCTCGTGCAAAGAATTTCTAAAATTTCGCGTCAACTCACACGCGTTAGAGTAGTAGAAAATTAATCAGTGCGCATCATAATTCATACTTCAAATTACGCGGATGGAGAACGCAGTCCGCGGCAAATAGAGTAGAGTACCCGAAGAGACGAGCAGACGCTTGTTGCATCGGCCACAAATGCTTCTCCTTCACATTGGTATATACGAATGAGTGGCAGCTATTTCTGCGTTTTGCGTTCAAGCATTCATACAGTCCATATGAGACGAGGATCAGGTGATGGAGAGAAGTTTTATCAAATTCCAGATTTTTTTTAGGTTGTTTAGTTTTGTCTGGTCAACTGTAGCAGAACAATAATAAAACCTAAAAAACAAGCGATTTAAATATATGGACTCTGCAAGATCTGTTTTTGCAATTCATTAAGATTAAAATAAATCTTAGTTAATGAATGTTTTTTTAAATAAAATAATTAAAAAAAATTCAATTTACATTTATTTATATGGTTTAAAATGATTAATTAATTTCAATTTAATCTTTTTTCATTTTTCAATTAAAAACAATTTAATTTGTATTGTTATTATAATGATAGTATGGAAAGAAATAAATGATTGTGTAATATGATATTGATTTAAAGATATAAACACAAATACAAGTTACCATTAGATTGCTAAGCAACTAATCTACAAGACATAACCATAAAGTAGTATAAAAAAATATGTTAAATCATTAAAATGGTAATTAATTAAAAACAAAACAAAAAATACTCTAAAGCTAAAATTTATATAGTCAAAAGTCTGGAGCGGTGATTATTCATATCGTTGGTGTTTAGTTGTGTACAGAAGCTGCCCTTGTATCGGATAAGTGCTGGGCGTCAACGTAGCATAGTCCCAGTAATTAACTGCCTGAAGATGCAAGTAGTTTTTCCTTTTTCTCTTTATATCTCCCAAGAGTTTATACTCATCGCGATTTGACCAAGACGACAGAGCAGCTAATGGCCTCATGGTGTACCGCCGTCATCAAGTCTCGAATTCCCGTAGAAACTTATCCCCGCAGCTTGTGGAAGCGAAACAAGTAGAAAATGTTTGTTCCAGACGGACGAAAATAGTTGATCATTAACAAGAATTCGCGAGTCGACTTTGACTCTTCTCTTTTTCAACTGCGATTCGCAGCTGTATAACGAGACTCATCTTGGCCTCGTCGACACGTTGCTCCAGACGGAGACGAACACGAAAAGCATAAGAGTTTATAAGTAACTGAGCACAAATACATGTTTGTATAACAAAGAAGAAAGAACCGTGAACATTATAGAAGTTTAAAGTGATAAAGAAAAAACTAAAGGAGAATGAGGACGACTAAGGCCAGACAGTGGAGGGCGTGGGAGACACATTTATAAACTCTTCTCTAAAATCTGTGTGATCCAGTGATTTACTAGGTCTACAAAAATGTATTTACCATTCCGTACATTTCTTACAGTCCATACTCTTTTTATTTTCCTTTACATCTTTTAAATTTACACTATTCCTACTCTATTTTCGATCGAAAAAATTATGACTCTGTACATTATTCAAATAAATGTACTCCAATTTTTTTTCCCTCCTATTTATATAGATGTCAAATTGCTTGAGATAGAGAATAATTTGGAAGATATTCTTTGAAATAACCATCAAAGTCATCCTTTCTGAATTCATATTGATTATTAAATAAATTTATTACATTGAGTTCTATTGAAATAAAATAGAAAGTGAATTTTTATATCAATAATGTAATTGTTGAAGAAATAATAAAAGATTAAAGTATGTATTCTTAAAGGTTCAAATGTGGACCCGGAAATACCAAGGAGAAATAGTATGCAACGAAATGCCTGGGGTAAGGTAGCCGTAACGTCTGGACGTGCTTACTAATAACAAGATGAAGGCGTTCGTTGTTTCTCTTTTTCTTATACTCTTCAGAATGTGTGATAGCTCCGGGCAATTGTCTTTCATATGTTTGAAGCACCCGGTCTATTATTTTCGTGATCATTGTAACGCAGATTTCATTAGTCTAACAAATGCGAACATATATAATCAACGAAACTAAAGAGAAACATTAAACATTTTCCTTTGAGACGGAATGCTGAAAAGAAAGAGAGATAAAAGAGGAATCATCAAGTGCTAGATAATATTTGTAAGAGCCAAGATATCAATCTTGTAGTCATACTAATCGACTTATCACTCGATTGTGAAAAGCTACTGTTCTAGAATTTCAGAAGCTATAAGCTTTGAAAGGCGTGAATAACGACCCGTGTAAGCTTCTGGCTACAATACGAGATATGCCAATGACCCTATGAAATTCTGCCAAAAATTAACCTTTAACATTTAAATTGACGGTCAGTACTTTTGTGATAGTCAGTCATTAATTCAATTGGTCGTATATAATTTTTTTTCCACTTCTCAAACTTGGTTTTTTTTTCAACTTTAATTCATTGGTTATCGTCAAGAGTTTCTGAAGAACTCTTGTACTTGAAATAAATTAAAATTATGTCAAGCGTTTTACATCTTTGATAACAGATGGAAAAAAATGTCCAAGTGCTTTAAACTATTTTTTTATTTTAACAATCATTAATTAATGTTATAAATAATAAATCAAACTTAAATCCTTTCTAACACAATTGTAATAATCAGCTCCAACATTTTCTGAATTAAAATATGATAATTTATAGGCGAGATAAACGTAACAAAGATGTTTATAGTTCCAGGGTTTCGAAATTAGAATCAATGCTTCATAGTTCACGACGTGGTAGTTGTCGTCGAGGAGTCATAAGATACGCTTGCCAACGCATGCAACCATTATGAACAGCTATAATAACAGTGCTTGGTCACCGATGCAAGCAGTTGCCTCATTAATGGAGCTAGGGGAACTATGAATCGTCCATGATCCACCTTCGTGAACGAACAGAGTATCTACGGATGAAAGTAAGTAAGTAAGCTCGTCCTATGAATGTAACTTGAATTCGTCTCGGCTAGTGCGACACTGGTGACTCTTCCACATCATCCGCGCCAACACAAGAAACAGAGGGAGATGGTAATAACGAGGGTAATGGCGAGAAGAATGACGCACGGATGATGATAATAATACTCGGCTATTTATCTCTTTCATTATGTGCAGATTAAGCGGGATATGTAACTTGAACGCGATGCACGCATTCATGCTTACAGGTAAAAAAATCTTACTCTATTATTAACTTTCATTCTACTATATTAATTTTGTCTTTTCCTAGATGGTTTTTATCACTCTTTATTGATAAAAGAATTAACAAGATCAGCTTTAGAAGCGATGTGGAATTTATATTTAACATTATTATTTTTATTTTATTTTATTTTATTTTTTTTTTTTACATTTTATGCATAAAATGTAAAAAAAAATTAAGGATAATTTAAATAAGTTCAGATGTTGGAAAATTTTTAATTTTACATCCCAGCAGTAACATCATCTTACAAATGGTTCTTGGAAATTTCCTATAGGTCTTCAATGTATGTATATATGAGCAAAATTTACGTAAAGCAATATCATAAAAGCAGTTTGATCAACTTGTAGCACCGAGAGGTCAATTGGTGTATTATTAAGATCACTTTGCGTTGATAAATTTTTTAACGTAATTGATTTGATTATTTTGGGGCTATAAAATTTTAATAACTTTGAAAACTGTAGACCTTTAATTTTTTTAATGGTCAAGAAACTTACAACTTTTGTTTCAGTCAGTAACTAACGTTGAAGAAGATATTTTTAAATTATAAATTCATCAATATTTCTATTTAATATTAATACATCAATTAAAACTACTAAATAATTTTTAGAATAAGTTTCACAAAATATTTATAATGTGTTTTGATCTATTTTATCAATCACTCATAGTAATAAATTATTCTTGAAAGCTCAAGTGATGATTATATTACTAAAACAGTTGAATTCTGTTTATATTATTTGTTGTGAAGAAAATTTTTTCTGCAATATCTGTATTATAATTTCAAGCGAAATTGTTTGAGAGGGCGGTACTGACGTATACAAGACA